CAAAGCATTATTGTTCCGAGTGGCTATTATTTTGTGTATACGGTAAATATAATTGCGTGCGAACATCAATTCTCAAAATCCATGTAATGTTGAAAATAATAAAATAATGAAATCTCGTTCCCGATTGTATTGGACTATTGTCTTCCCGCTCCTTCTGTCAAAAAAAAAAAGCAGTCGGGAATATTTTTCGCATATACAATGCGAACATTTGTCCTTTATATTTATGTCAGAAACAATGTTTTTGAAAAAGGCAACAACAGCTAGAAAAAAGAAAAAAAAAAAAAAAAAAAAAACAATATTTGTTACAAACATGCCAAAGGGATTAGTCATCTCTTGTACTCGTGTTACTAAAACCGTTGAACAGCGGAAATTAAATGTATAAATCATCCTCTTTGCAAAAAAAAAAAAAAAAAACTTTAAAAAATATTTACAGTGTCACAAAACTTGCGCACGACATTACAAATATCATATAGTACCACTGAATAATGCATAATAAAATTAAACCTTTTATAGAACCTTCCAATCTCTACTTTCATTGGTCAGGTAAAATGCCGCATTTGAAACTTATTATATAAAAGTACCTCATTGGTACATTCTTTCTGGTCTCGAAGACGTTCTTCTGTATTGATCCAGCTTCCATTTTTTCAGTCTCTCTATTACTAGATCAATATAAAAATATCTTACACATACATACATATTATTATTAAATATAAATAAATATTAAGTTTAAGGTAAAAATTGGGGATTTATATTATCATCATACATACTTACATATAAACGTGTATATATATATATATTTGTATATGTGTCATAACTTCATTATTGAATAGCCCCTACTGTACGACGTTCTCATATACACGCACGCAAATACATATATACATATATACATATATATATCGCTCGAGAGTATTGTTAGGTATTTCCTCTTGTTGAAATTTGCTCTTTTGCCTAAAGGGTATTCGTTGTTGTCGGACGTCTAAATCTTGGAGCGACAATAGAAATAAACAATTGATTAATAATAATAACCTGTAATATATATATATACATACATATACATATAGTAATCCTGTATTTGCGCGATACCCGTGAATACGTTAAAGTTAAGCGACAAGGATAATAATCTTTGCTGTCGAATACATTCCACAGAAACCGCCACTGCACTCGTCATCATCATTCAACGTTTTTTAAATCTCCCGATGGCCCTCCAGACGCCACCAATTCTTGCCTCCTCGTATAACAATGGCGGCGGCGGTGCTATCACGCCTCCACCTGACCAGGCCACTGGCAGGTCCACAGGGGGTGGTAAGCAGATGTCCCCACCTCAGCCTCCTCAACAACCCTCCCAACCTCAGCAGCATCCAAGGATAGCGCCTGCGCCCATGAACTATCCCGCCGGCTCTTTCATAAATGTCTCGAATCTGGCCGGCATGGTAAACATGAACCTCGCTCAATGTTGTACGACCCAAATTCAACAACAACAGCAACAACAATTCATCATGAACGACAATGGAAATACCATGAACAACCCCAAGTTGGTGCCCCAACTACAGAACAAGGTTCCCAATGTCCAATGCGATACGAATTCCCCTCATCCCACTGCTGTTGTCACAAACGGTGCGGCCTCCACCGCTCCCGTCCCCGTCCCCGTCCCCAACGCTGCCAATCGTTTGATGCAACCGACGACGCCCGAGAGACCCGAGTCCATCGTTTTCTTGTATCAGATCCCCAATGATACCAAGATATACATCGTCAAGTGTGTCGAGGTCTCTCAACTGCTAGATATCGACTCTCGTGGAACTTCCGGTAAACAACTTCCTCAACAGAACATCCTCAAGCATCATTTAGAACAACACCTCAACCAACGCTTCCAACCACACCATACTCCTCTCCAGACACTCTCTCAATCTCAACAACAGCAGCAGCAGCAATTCCTACAACAGCAACCGACCCCTTTCCAATTGCAACAGCAACAGATCAATGCCACCATCCAACAGCTCAGGCATCACCCCTATCAACAACGTCCCTCGCCGAAATCTTTGCTCAATGTACCTGTCGGAAAAAACATCAAAACTCCTGGCGCCAACAATGGTCCTTCCATGACCCTCCAGAACATCGGCGAGAATCACAATAACCACAATAATAATAATAACAATAATAATAATAATAATCATGACAATGCCGGTACCCTCATAGATCAGACGGCCGACCTACAACAATTCCCCGTCGAGATGAATCAGAACGCTGGTAACTTCGATCTCATGCTCCCGATGACCGCAGCCCCCGGAGCGTACATGGTTACACCATCAGCCACTCCGACCATGAGAAACGATCAACTGATGGTCACCAATTACTTGCAGCAACAAGCGTTACTCGCGAACACGCAATCTCAGAATTTATTCAATGCATTCGACAAGAACGGCAGCCAATTAACTTAGCAACTTCAAATATTCGACATTTTGTTTGATTGTTTTTTTCAAATAACCACGATTATTGCACACCTCACCTAAGATTTACTGTATATTCAATGACTGATTGATTGTATGTATAGATATTTTAGCATTCACGCATATCCTAATTTCATGCGTGTCTCAACATCGACTCGTTTTAATTTCACACACATCCCTACTTCACCATAAAAAGAAGTTTGAGATTAACTGAAATTTGTGTTCGCCTTGCAACCACCATATGAAACTTTAATTAATTATTATGCCAAAAAATTATGAAATCCATTTTTTACGCGACGTTTCTCTTTCTTTTTCTACCCGAATTCGGCAAATTCTCTCGTTTTCGCACTCTTTTTCACGCATATGACCCTAAGATTGTTTAGTCAAAATTACACGTGGCACATCTCTAGTAAATATAAAGCATTTATTTGCATCGAACATTTTTTTGTACTTAGATAATCATAAGCTACCGCGTATGAACATTTCACTTTTTTTTTTTTTTTACGTGTAGTGTTATATCATTATATATATATATACATATTTGTAATCTGTCTTACTTTTGGTGGTCTGAGTCGAGTGGATCTTTTCGTTGTACATTGTTTTCCCACTTTTTTTTTTTTTTTTTTTTTAAAAAAAAAAAAAAAAAAAAAAAAAAAAAAAAAAAAAAAAAAAAAAAAAAAAAAAAAAAAAAAAAAAAACGATTGTTCGTTGACTCACGTGAAAATCCTGGTAATTTACTGTAGGGGTGTGTATAAAATATTATTATTATTAAATATATTTATATAATTTTTATATTTTTTAAAAAAATAATATAAGAGAAAATTGTATTATAACAAAAGTTCCTAAAGACATACAAATTAGTACAGTTTTGAAGTATATGAGATCAAGTGAAAGAAGCAATAGTAATTTGTTTACAAAGGTCAAGATACTTATTTAATAAAATATATGTTTAAGCTTATCAATACCTAGATAAAATTGGAGACTTTATATATATATTTGAGTTACATTATTTTTATATATGATAATTATAAATTATAAGAAATAATAAAAATATAAAAGAAATATTATATTTATCAGAACAGTTATCTGTATATATTAACATAAAAACAAATGCTCTAACAAAAATACATAAATAAAAATAAATAAATAAAATAGAAAAGCAACAACAACACGAAAAGCACAATGCTAAACAATATCAAGAATATTAACATAAGAATTATTCTAGAATAGGCAATATTTCAAAAGTAAATGCTAATGAAAATCAGACAAGAGGTAAAAAAATTTTGGGCAAAAATCAAATACAACAATTCTTTCCTAATAAGCTATAAGTTTTACAAATTAATCTTGTATTAAGGAGACATAATCAAAGTATAACAGTCAATAAATTAGGTATAAAGTGATGAATTAGGTCCTATAGATCTAGTTAATTTCTACTTTTTTAAAAATGATATATGTAAATAGCAATCTTGAAATAGTATTCTGTAAGATATAATTTCAAGTAGGCATGTTGTCTTCTATAAAAAATATTTTCTATTAATTTTCTTAAATAATAAGCATATACAAATGTTAAAATTCTGTTTCTTTATTGTAATGCTTTTTGTAACTTCTAATAGATATTCAAAAGTTATAATTTGGTAATTTGCAGAATATTATAAGTGGCTAGTGCAACATTTATATCTTTAGAAATGTTTTGCAGAAGATCTTTGATCAAAATAGTATAAGCAGCTATGAGATTATTATTTGCATGTTGAGAATATTCAAATTTGAAAAAAGAGTATGTTGTTTGAAACAGCTGTCCTTTTTATAGATTTTTGTGAGTATTTTTGAGATTCCATAATGTTGGATACTTAAGGTCTTCTTAAAAATCATTTGGCAGGTAATTATCAACTCAAAATTCTTTCAAAAATGCCAAAAGATAATCACTTGTCAAGAAATGCTCATCTAACTTATTCTGGTCTCAGGGATTTATTCTAGAAAACAATTGTTTTGCTTCAAGAAAAGGTCAAAGTTTTGAAGTGTCAAGTTTATCAAGGAAAAAGATTTAGGACTTTGGAATCAAAGGTAAAAAGATTGAAAAGAGAATTGGAGATACTTTGGAATGCATACTTCCTTCACAACTTCAATAAAGAGTTGAAGTTGGAGAACTTAAATTTGAGAAATAGAATATCTTGTTTAAAAGATCATTTTCACATATTGGGAAATCTTGTGCCTGCTCCTTTTAACAGGTCTTTTTCTTCTTTTTTATTCAACTAGAGGTTTGCTTTTTATTTTATTTTTCATGCATTTTCTTTTTCAAAGTTTGTGGATTTATTGTGAAAGATACAGTAGTTACTGAGTATGCTTTATGAACTGGCTGTAATAAACAGGGAGCACTCTGTAGGCCACTTTTATTACATTGTATCTTTTAATTGTTTTTCTAGCTTCTTCAGGTCTTCTTTTTCATTCAAGGGTTCAGTGATACTTGTGCTAGGTTTGATACAAGTGGAGGACTGGATTACTTAAACATCTGCATCCATATCATATAATCTGGGTACTGAACTCTTTAGTAGCTAAAAGATGCTTCTTCTTGAATATGTATATTAGGTTTCCATACTGATCAGTCAAAATATAATTTCAAGAGAAAAAGATTAATAGAATAGCAAGAACTTTTCCTTTTATGGTTCTAAGTTTGAAAACATCATTAGGCAAGACATCATGGATATAAAAAGGTTCTTTCTATTTTGGTTTCAGTTTTCCTATAAAGTATTTGTCTTTGGCAACATCATATATTATTACTTTATCCCTGATTTTGAACTTCTTATACTTTGTTACTTTTTAATCATATCTTTATTTTTGTTTCTGTTGTTTCTTGTAAATATTTCTTCTTGCTTGTTCTTGTTATTGTGAAAGTTCTTCTTATAAAGTATATAATCAGTCAGGAATTATTAATTATAATATTTTATCCATGTTTGTTATAGACATTTAAGGTTTTTATCTATAAAGTAAATAAAATAATGTTATTTTTGTAGAAGATTGTTTTGATGTTCTATAAGCAAAAAGTACTGGCGAAATGTGTTGGTCCCAATTTTCTTTGCCTTTAATTAACTTTGCAAGTGATTTATACAAAATTCTATTAAATTATTCAACCAATCCATTGGTTTGAAGATGATATGATATGAATAATAAATGTCTTATTTCAAATTGCTTGAGTAATCCATTTACTACTTCATTATAAATATGAGTTCCTCTATTAGATAGGATTTGTTTTGAATATTCATGTCTACAAATTATAACTTGATAAATAAATTCTGCCATATGTTTTTCAGTAGCTTCAGAAATTGCTTCTGCTTTGGATTATTTGGTAAAATAATCTGTTGCAATAATAATATACTTGTTTTCTTGTTTGGTAATTGGTAAGG